GCCTCTCTTTTTAACGCGCACGCACAACATGATACACATATCATATATATATATATATATATATATATACACAGCAAATCCCCCCTCCCTAACACGAGTTTATATCTCCTTCTGTAGAGTTACACGAGCGAACACTACTCGAGAGGACGAATTATTAGACACAAGAGAAACTTCATTGATCCTTGTTCTTATTTTTGTTTGTTTGTTTTTCCTTTTGATTTTTATTTAAACTTCTTTTGAGTAATACGTAAGTAACACTCTACGTAATACGTATAAGTAGTATTTACTTTCTTTTTCGTACAGAAATGTATTTATATTGGATTGACAACTAAGTGATTGTGGATCTTGTCGTTTCCTTCTTATTTGAAATCCGGCAATCACTTAGATGGCAACCCAATATAATAATGAATATAAATAAATTAATAATAATAATAATAATAATAATAATAATAATAATAATAATAATAATAATAATAATAATAATAATAATAATAATAATAATATCAATATCAATATCAATAGCAATTATAACAACAATAACAACAACAACAACAACGTCAAACTGTTACCATAGCCGTGCATCGATCGTCCCTACTGCCAAAATCTTACCACAGTTTCCTCGCTGGCATGGCTTTTGTGCCAACGGGTGAGAAAAAAGTTGACCCACCAGAATAACTGGTCGGCGATAACAAAAGATGGCTACCCCTCTCAACCTCCCTCCCGCCCTTCTTCAACCTCCACCTATCTCTTGCCGTTGCTTCTGAAATCGCGCGACGAATAATCATTGCCTTCGTCCGTTACGAACAGAGGAAGAACTGTTTCTTTTTTCCTTTTTTCTTTTTTTTTTCCATTTGTTTCATTACCTTCTCTCGAAGAGGATGATGAAGTTTAAAAAGAATCAAGGGCATACAGCGAAGGATAGTAATATAGTTCGTAATAGTAAATGAAACGAATATACAAATTGATTAATAAATACATTTTCTAACGTAAACAAACGTAACGAACATTTTATTAGACAATATAGAATAGTGAAACATACATATCTTGTATATAATAGAGAAGGATGGTAATTCAATAAATTTCAATATGATACGACCTTGCTAGCATAGGCATAGACATGTTTTGTTCTGCTGTGTTATGTTATGTTACTGCGATTCGTTGTTTTAATCGATTTACGGTTATTGATCCTCATCTAAGTAAGTACACATCTTAGAGAATTGATAAATTTCCAGAATAAAAAAAGGTTAGGGGAAAATAAGGTCCGGAATGGGTCGGTCGAGCCCAAAACCTTGGAGTGGCATGATCAATCCATCTTTTCCATTGGGAAAAACTTATTCCAGACCCAAAACAACTATGACAAAATGATGGGGCGTCGACTCATCGTTGTTGAAAAACAACAGTATCGATAATCTCATTTCACATAAATCGTGGCTTCAAAAATTCTTACTACATTTTAAAGATACAAGATCGTCACATAATTATAAAATATATAATATTATAAAATATGTTTCATTAACATTCAATAATATTTATATTCTGTAATAAAACTTGTTTATTTAAAAAATATATTCTATATATTAATAATATATAGAAATAATAATAATATAATTATTTACTTATATATTACTTGTTTATTTTAGAAATTATACTGTGAATTTACGATCGCAACTGTATAAGAGACAATAAATATTTTCTTACATAGGTATATGTGTATTTTCGTTCATAGCAAAGTAATTTGACGTGAACACGATTTGTGGTTCGATTTTGTAATATTACAACGTAACGAAATTGGCAATAACTGTAGTCTCTTTTTACTGACGTCGCACGCCACTTTTCAAAATAACGTCCAATCATAAATCATATTCCGATTTAAAAAAGAAAAAATAAATAAAAAAGAACAAAAAAATGTAATTTATTTAATCGTAATCGACACGGCCAATGGCCTTTTCAACCATTTGTGATTTAAACGTCCTCGGTTTATAAAAGGTCTTTCCTCAAAGAAAATTACCACTTAGATAATGACGAGTACGACTACGACTACGATCATTATCTACAGTATTTACTTTTCTTTCCTTTTATTCGTATCCATGAAACATTATATTATACCGGAAATAATGATAAGGTCACAAAGAGAATATATTGTTTTGAATTAGTATACCCTTCGAATCTTAAACAACATTTATATGTACATATATATATATATATATATATCTGTAAGTATTTACGTGCATTTTGCTTTCGTATATTATACACACACACATACAAACAAATAATATATACATACATATATATATATATGTATGTATATACATACTAGGCGTCATAACCTTCGACAATTTACTTTGAAATGCACTTTGTGAATCCTGAATCACGACGGTAAATCAACCGCGAAAAACCTTCCGGGTTTAAGCAATCGATAGAATCTTCTATTGATGCTCTAATTCCACTCCCACGTGGAACTTCTTTCGAGCCTTTTGACGATTTCACGATCTAAGCTTTCTCTCTCTTCCTTTCTCTCTCTCTCTCTCTTTCTTTCTTTTTTTCTTTCTCATCGACCTCGCTTGTTATTGTCGTCATTGCTGAGAGTACCGATCGTTGAGCAACCGAGCATTGGATTTGAAGGCTCGATTGTTCCCTAGTGAGAGAAAAGCTTTACTCGAAAGAGCCTTCTTTCGCTTTTACGAGGGTCTTTTTCGAAACGCTTCGAGCTGACGATGGATAACTTATAATGACATCTCTCTCTTTCCCTTTCTCTCTCTCTCTCTCTCTCTCTCTCTCTCTCTCTCTCTCTCTTTCTCTGTCTTTATCTCTTTCATACGTTCTCTTTGTTTTACTCTTATTTCATTCATCGATACATGTACAATTATTGATTCTTCTTTCCGATCGAGTTCTTAAAATCTTAGACTTTGATATTTCACATTAATCGATTTTTCTAATTTAAAATATAAATAATAATGATTACGAAAATAATCTAAGAAATATGAGATTAGTATATATAAGTATCGAGATATACTGGATGAGTCATTCAACGATTATCGCAGACGTAACGAAAAACAATGGAATTATCTATATATATATATATATATATATATATATATATATATATATATAGATAGATAAATTTATATATATATACATATATATATGTATAGTATGTATATATATATATAAAGTATATAAATTAAAAAAATTTTTTATATTATATATAAAATTATACAAAATATTAATTATTATATTAATCAATATATAAAAATATTTTAATAATTTATATATATAATATGTACATAATGAAAAAGTTTTTGATATTTTTTTTTAAATGAAACAATTTTGTCACTTATATAAAAGTTAAATATAAGATAAATACATATTTGTATTAGTCGTTCGTGGACTTAAGCGACTAATTCAATTTTTTTCTTAATTCTTTCTTTATAAATTTTACCACCAAATGACGTTTAATTGGTACTTAAATTTTTATATTTGAAATAAATTTGAAATATTAATTTCAACAATAATAATTTAAATTATTAATAATTTTTAGCTATTACATATTATATCAACAATATTATATAAATTTAAATATATAATATTTATATCAAATTATTAAATGTATCCATCTACAACATATTATAATATTGTAATAATATATTTTACAATCTATATTCGATTATACATTTTTTACTTTTTTTTATGAAGTTCATCACTTTGACATCATCAAAAATCGACTTCCATCGTTGATTAATTTCCATATTTAAAATACAAATGATTATTGTGAATAGAATATAGCGATATAAAATGTGTACAAAGATATATTGGATGAGTCATCTAAAAGAAATCACAGAGAAAAAAAATTATTTTTGATAAAAAGAGTAGTTTATGATTCTTAATTAAGAGATTTAATGTGCAAAGATATATTGGGTGTCAGTCAATTAAAATGAAACAATTGTTTTCATAATACATAAACAATTGTTTCATAAATTTACCATAATTTTTCTATTTACATGTAAAATGTATAAATAGTATAAATAAACATATGACAATCCCGTACGAGCAAGATATATTCTTGCTAAGAAATTTGTTTCTATCATTAATAAAAAAAGAAAAGAAAATAGTAACTCTTAGATGACTTATCCGATATATCCTGTACAAATAGAAAAAGAAAAAAGAAAATTAAAAAGAAAGAAAGAAAAACCAAAGCCTAATGATCCCATGAGTATCGTTAGAAGATCGATCTTTCATAAAATCATGTCTTTCAGAGATATGTAACTCGTCGTCGTTATTGGCGTTTCTAATATCCAATGTAAAACTAAACGCAATATCTAATGAAAGGATGATAGCCTCGAGGCTTCCAACTTGATTCCTTACCTTCCGGGCAATCTGTTCAACCGATCGTTTGATATCGCAATCGATTATCCGCACACGTCTTGACGGGAAGAAAAAAAAAGCAAAAGAAAAAAAAAAAAAAAGGAAAAGTAAAGATTGTCCAGGTGTTCTAATTCCTTTGACTCTAAGCTATTTCATACAACTTCTAACGATTTCGTTTAATGCACAGAGAATTTTATTGATTTCTACTGAGATCCAGTGTTACCTAAACCTTTTTTATATTTAATACGAGTCGCAACTTACGAGTTTCCTCTTTACTATCATACCATACACACACACATATATATATATATGTATATATATATATACAATATATATATACTATATATACAATATATATACTATATATATAGTATATATATACTACATATATATACTATATATACTATATATACTATATATATATACAGGCAGCTCCATGAATCCCGCAAGTAATGTTGCGAAATGTTATAAAATAGTGTATCTATGTTATATGTATGTATACCTGTAAGATGTATGTAACCTGTACTTACTTTTGACGGATGGCTTACAACTTACGTTATATCTCGACGCGTATACTTCTGTTCAAACTAATGACAAGAATTACGATGATGAGAATGTAACTCTGAGAAATAGAAATC